AATGCATATCAATACAAATCAAAAGAATACATTTATGCATAATTATATGTGACTAACCCTAATCCCAACCCAACAATTACATGTAGTATATAATTACAGTTATAATTACAGTGTAACAAATATACCATAAAATAAAGTGTAACCAAGTAATTTTTTTTTAACTATTCTTGCAGGTAATATGATATTAATGATATTAAATGCCACTTGACTGTACTTAGAAAGTACACACTATTGTCTATGCTTCTTAAATAATTTGTTTACCCAAAATGAAAAATCTGTCATAATTTACTCACCTTCATGTCTTTACGAATCAGTAAGACTTTCATTCATCTTTGAAACACAATTTAAGATATTTTTAATGCAATCTGAGTGATTTCTTTCCCTCCGTTGACAGCTACACAACAAGTTTAAAAAAATCCAGATGAATAGAGCAGTTTAGTCCAAATTTTCGGAAACAAATTGGTCGCTTTATATGCTGACTGAGCAGATTTAATATGAGCTTTTATTCACATATAAACAATCATAAACTCATATAGTTGTGGTAAACAAAAGCTCAAGCATGTTCGCTTGATGTGCGAGAACAAATGAGGTTTATTCTTGTGTGTTACGCAGTACGTTTGAGCTTCCACAAGAGGTTTGTCCTTGCGCTTCAAGCAGGTTTGGTTGAGCTTCTGTTTATGTTCACTGATCAATGTTTATATGTAAATAAAAGCCTAAATTCAATCTGTTCATCCTATAAAGCGATTGAGTCTCTTTCTAAAATTTTGACAAACACTCAATTCGTATGGATTAGTAATACAATCTCTTTTTGAACTTCTTTTAGTGTCAGAGTGGAAGTTTGGTAGCTGTCAACGGAGGTGCAGAAATCACTCAGATTTCATAAAAAAGATCTTCATTTGTGTTCTAAAGAAGAATTAAACTTTTGCAGGTTCAGAGCAACATGACGGAGAATAATTAATGACAGAATTTGCATGTTTGGGTGAACTAACCCTAACGTTTCATTATGATAAAATCATTATTTTTGTTATGCTTTAAAGATGCTTTATTTTCATCTGTTGTCTAACAAACTAAATCAAATGTAAAGTACTTGGCTATCATTTTAACTGTAATGTAAAGGGCTTCTACACCACTCTTTTTCACCTATAATTACCCTCTGATTTTAGGGATATGCAGGGTTAGGTTTACGTGTCGGGATAGGGTTAGGACTGTTTTTGGACAGGATTGTTGACATCAACAAATGATCCAGGAACATGTCTTACTTGCAAAGTTACGGCAACATTAAATGTTTGTCACTACATTCGGTGAAACATAATACTGTACTTAAGTGGGTAAGAAAAACTCTGAATTTCAGCTAATTGCATTTCATATAAATTAACAATAATACATTTTCATTTATTTTTAATTAACATGCAGTGAAGTCAAGTACTGTAGAATATTTATGTAATAGCAACTCTTTTCAAATGTATGCTAAACAGTACTTCATTTTCACAAAGGTATATTTTCTCACTAAACTGAGTAAATCATAATAGTGAGAATGCATGGCACCCCGTACAGCCTTATATAGACACATTAAACATACAAAAGTTTGGTTTTGTCCCCCCCCAATTCTTACCAACTATCTGAAGCTTGACTTTATTCTTTCGATCAAGTCTCATTCCATGGTAAGGAAGAATGTTTAACAAAGCACAACTGTATGTTCCAGCATCTTCCATCCGGACCTCTCTGAGGGTGAACGTTGTCCTCGTTTCTTTTGTGTCCCAAATATTGACTTTAATTGGCTTTTCATTTTTGATGAGAAAAGCCAAAATCATATTATTGGACAGGTTTTTGTTCATAGGATCGGATGTTGTACAGATAAACTCAGCATCACTTCCCACTGCCACCTCAGACTGTTGCAAATGTATCTGTGAATTAAATAAAGATTCTGTAGAGAGAAAAGGGAACACTTATGATTAAATGTTTAGCATGGCCTTTAATGCATACCAGGACAAAGGGTCTAAAACAATAAGAAAAACCCAATTTCAAATATTTCTCTCTCATTAAAGGCAATTTTGTACAACAGTGAGTCTATTGTGGTTAATTTGCACAAGTGTGTTATTCAACATGTCTCATCTGTGCACAGGAACCAAACACACACTCAAATGTAAGCAGAAGTGTTGTACATCTTACCGATCACATTTATGAAGACGATATTATTACCATATCCCATCACTTTGTTTTTTTCCAAGTGCTCTTCAGAAAACAGACAGCTATAGTTGCCCGAATGGTCCATTTCTGTTCTCTCTATTTTAAAGGCGATGTCTTGTCGAGTGGATCTGGATTTCATATCTATAGCTTTACCATCTTTACACAGATATACATAAACTGATTTAGCCTCTGGCTTAGTAAAACCATATGTACTGCAAGTAACCTCCAGTATACCACCTTCTGGTACTTCTGTATTTTCACTGAAAATCTTGGCTTTTTGAAGCTGTTCGCCTGTGAAGGAAATAAGACGTTTGTTCATCCTAAAAGTGCGATACAACATTAACTGCAAAGATTTTTATTCATTGCACCATTCAAACTTACCTTGACTTTGAAGGATTAGATTCACTGAGATATCTAGGAAATAATAATAATAATAATAATAATTTATCATAAAAAGTTATTTATTTATTTTATTTACTGAATATATAAGATTTTGTAATTTCATTACTTACATGCAAGTAGAAACACACCGACCATGGCTGCTGATCAAGATTTCTTTTACAAGATAACTGGGTTATTCTTAGCTTGCAGTCAATACGCTGTTGCAGTATCAGTGCACTTTGAACAGAACAGGTAGTGCTTGCACTAAAGTATCTATGCTGTGAATACGTTTTAAAGCCGGAAGCATTGTCAAATAGCGCTGAACGGTGTATTTTAAAAATTTTTGAAATGCCTGCTTTTTCTGATGGACATTCATTACTCAACATACATTTCAAAATACTATTTAGTCTTTCTGACCGCTATTTCTATGAAGTGTGTAGCACTGCTGATCCGCACAGATAATTTGTACACTAAGAGGGATTATTTCACACAATAAGATAGATGTGTGATATGTGGATAAAGGGTTGATGCAGAGTAAAACCACAACAAGAACATTTAAACCAGGGTAGTTTGTCAGCACGTCATCCTTAACATTCAACACACAAACCACTATGATGACACTCAAAATACATTAATTATAGCATGATAAACTTTCAAAATAATGTAGCTTTCCAGTAATAAGCAACATTTTCCAGCGATGATCAGTGTAGTGCAATCAAACATTGTTTTATTGTCATTTATATAGCAAATTCAACTTCATTGCCCAGCACCCTGAGGTAAACACACACACCTGACTGTTTTCACCAAGCTGTTTTCCTCATGATGACCAAATATCCTCACAAGGACAAGGATATTACTATATTTGTGAAGATATTTTGTCTCCGCATGGGGTACACCTGAACACCATGCCGGATTTACATATTTTATGGGGACATTCCATTGGCTGTATATTTTACATTTTTAAACATTATTTGTATGATTCATAAGCTAATGGGGACTACAAATTTCCCCACAAGGACAAGAATTTCTGATATTGCCATCTTTGTGGGGATATTTTTTTATATCCCCATTCACAGTATCAGGACCACACACACACACACACCAACATGACATCATGACTTTTGTTATCTTCACGCATTTTGAGCTATCCGCGTGTATGCGTATATGTCTACGCCATTAACATCCGCGTCATTCCGCGTCTCTGTACAAATCTCCAGTCATAAATGTCATTAACCCCAGTGACGGTTAAGTTTAGGGATGGGGTTGAGGTAAGTCATATCTTTTTTTTACCTTGGATGGTAGGGGAACAGTCATAAATGCCATTAACCCCAGTGACGGTTAGGTTTAGGGACGGGGTTGAGGTAAGTCATATATTTATATAACGTTAAGTCAACGGCGTTCATAAACACGCTGAAAGGCGATAATGCGTCTTGATAGCACGCCAAAAATGGAAATACGAATTGGCGTGTGCGCGTGTCATACACACGCTACTAAACTCTCTCTCTCTCTAAACTGTATTTACACTGTAAAAAAACAGTGTAAATACACTGTTTTTATCGGTTTCGTAACAATGGTTATAATGCCACTTAGAGGTAAAAAGCAGCAAATGCATGTTCTCTCATTGTGGGGGATGAGTTCGCTTGGGCAGTTCTTGTTAATGATCAGATTCCAAAAGGTTTACTGATTCAAGAAGGTGGCAGATCTTTTAGTACCAGTCGACTCTTTTGAGTTAGATCTAGAATAAATCTATCTGTTCAAATTTGAGGTTGTCTCCCAAATAATAATAATAATAATAATAATAATGATAATAATAACAATTCAAAAGTTATGAGTATTTTGTAGGTTGACAAAGTAATTTCAATGTAGTGTAACCCTGAGAATTGATTGATGACACCAGTGAACCATTGGGAGTGCTGTAGATGATTATCTGTCTGGATGTGAAAGAAAGAGATGTCCCTCATTCTCGCAAAACGGTGCACTTGATTGTTTGATTGTCCATTTTAAGTTGCGAGCCCTACTTTTAATTGTCAACTTGGATGGTACAGTAGCTTCACCAGTGCGGTTGCAGTGCATGCAATGTTTATACTGAATTGCATTTAGTAAGCAATAATCAGATAAACATTCAGACATATGCCCAAAACTCACAAACTACAAAAGATCCACAATACAAAGCAATTGTATCCTTCCAGTCCTCCTAAAGCTTGAGTCTGAAGTCTAATGCCTGGAGAGGGGTTGGTTAGCAACACGTCTTAAGTCTTTCACCATGAAGTGACAATAGAAGCGCTGGGGGAAGTGAGCATGGTGTGTGTTTTCATGTCAAGCAAAAGACAGGAATGAAGAGCAGGGAAGGGGGACACCGTGGCCCTTAATATATGCAGCACTATTGTGTGGAGTCAATGCAGCATGCTAAAATGGGGCGACAAGTGAAGGGAGAAAAAACTGTAGAGAGAGAGGAGAAAGAAGACAAGGAGGGAAGCACATGCCATGAGGATATGAGTCTCGTGGACATTCTTCTTAACTAGGTTGAAAGCATGTTTCTGTCTCTTTCTTAGCTTAGGAGCACCTGAGCAGACATTTTCAAAAAAATAAGAGCCTTAGAACTTGTTATTCAGCTTCTGTTATTCAAAAGACTGCACATGTGGTTAGGACATAAATTGCTAACAGTCTGTAAGTAAAACCACAACATGTGCACAAGGCATTTCCAATTGCTGATTGGGGTTTGAATCTGTCAAATGCACGAAAAGACAAGCTGAAAAAAAGCCACAAAAGGAGAGAAGCCAGTAAAGGTAAGAAAAAATCTCTTTTGTGATTACCTAATATGCATTTTGGTATCAGCACTTTGTAAAAAACGTAGAAATGTATGGCGATTGCATTATAACAAAAAATATATTACTTAATTAAATAAACAACTTAATCAGCAGTTGAAGACACAGAGCAGTTGGATGAAGCCACACCCAAATCTGTCAAGAAAAAAAAAATCATTTAATCGTTAATTTTGTAGTGGATGTTCTTCATGGTAAAACTTTACAATATGGGTGCACTGATAAGCATTAATTCGTGCTTAACTAATGCACAAATAATCATTAGTTAATGTATAAGAACTAAACCATTAATTAATGATTACTGCATCAGCAACTAATAAAGAGTCTATATGATTAATAGATTAAGTAATACATGAATTGCTATTAATTCAATATGTCGTGTATTAATTCCTTAATAACATATTTTATTATCTATTAGTGTAAAATAATGTGTTTATTACCACAATTAGTCAAAGCTATGCACTTCAAACTTCCAGTTGTCTGCTTAAATTAATCATTAGCTAATGATTTGCAAAGGTATCATTATGTTATGACTTTACTTGTTGGGGCACATCATTATTAACTTGTCATTTAGTAATTGTAGTAATTTGCACATGAATTTGCACTAACAATGAAGTAATTAATCATTTATTAATGCATATTAGTGTACCTGTCATATTATCTGGAAGTTGAAAAACAAGGCTTTGGCTCATTCTGGTAATTAACATATTAATTAAAACTATTAGTTAAAAAATGAGTTATTATGTAATTAATCCACAATTACATATTTAATTAAAAACAATTAATGTATGAACTAATACATTAACCTTACAGACTCTTAATTAGTTCCTAATGTGGTATTCATTAATGAATAGCTAAGATACTCTTTAGTTCCACATTAATTCAGTTTTTTCTTGTGAATTAGTTAAGCATTAGTGCACCCGTATTGTAAAGTGTTACCATAATAACAATAAACTTGATTTTACATTAAAAGTTGCATTTCAAAGCACTTTACAAGAACATACAAATAAAATACATTAAAATAGGAAAATATTTATTTATTTTTTTACCCAGATCAAAACATAAAAAACCGGACTAATCATGTTTAGGCAACCTGAGAAAAAAAATAAGACCAAACATTTGGTTTCAGTCTATTTTATTTTGATTTTTTTTTTAATCCTTGAGAGTAAAATAATCTAAAATTGAAAATGTGAAATTTGATATATTATTTGTGTGTCACAACTGCTTTATTTATTTAAATAGCCCAAAATAAATGTGTTATATGTATTATGTTTGCAGCTATGCATAGCTGGATAGAGTTGTGTGTGTATGGTAAAACAGCTCACCACATCCTGTAGATATCAAGTGCTTGTTTGAGCCTTATAGTAAGCTCTGTCTCATCATCCTTTGCAGGTGTGATGTATCTTTCTAAAACAGTCCATATGTTTTGACCGGTGTGGAATGATATGTGAAGGGATGGACTCCTCAGCTTTGACCCACCGGTGTGCCCTGGTCCTGTTCATCTACATGCCAATTTGTCAAGCCTTTCTGCCCAACTTCTGGTCACGCGTACTTACGTTGTCCTGGGATTCATACACCCATCAGTACATGACAGAACAAGCTATACACAACATCACAATGGAAACTCTGAGTAGAATGGTGGAACATCAACAAGATTTAAATGATGAGGAGCTGGTAGGTTTTATGTGGTGTATGTGGTAAATAATGCATGTCATTACCCATTGTCTGATAAATTGGTATATTTCACACGCCAGTGACTGAGTTATAGGATGAGAATAAGTTTAGCACAGATATTTTCACTGCATGTTGTGAATGTAAATTATATTCTTTCATAAAAAAATTGAAAGAATGGGGGGTTATAAATTATTTCACACATTTAAAGGAGAACTCCAGTCAATTTTAACATTGACCTCATTTTTTGTACATTTGGAGTGCTGTCAGTACAGACAAAAACGACAAAAATCGGTGTTGCCTACACCGTGTTATCATCTTTTTAAAATTCACACCCTATTGACTTCAATGGGGCATGTTCTAAACCTGCCTTTACCCTCTTAACATCCTTGATTTGTCATTACAAGTGCACAGCCATGTGAGTGGTGTTATTAAGAGTAACCACGGCCAATCTGACTGCAGTAGATGTGAAAGATATGAATAAAAATGATGTTAATTCAGCCAGCTCACATACCTCTATTTGCTTATTCACTAATGATCACGCATGAACTCGACAATCGACTACTGTGGGCTTCGACCGAAAACAGGAAGCAAATAGAGGTATGTGAGATGGCTGAACTAACATAATTTTTATTAATATCTTTCACATCTACTGCAGTCAGATTGACCGTGGTCACTCTTAATAACACCACTCACATGGGTGCACTCGTAATGACAAATCAAGGATGTTAAAGGCTAAAAACAGGTTTAGAACATGCCCCATTGAAGTATACAGGGTTCGAATTTTAAAAAGACGATAACGGTGTAGGCAACACTGATTTTTGTTGTTTTTGTGTGTACTGACAGCACTCCAAATGTACAAAAAATGAGCTCAATGGTAAAAATGAGCTCAATGGTCTCCTTTAAGCAAATAATTTTGTGCGAATGCAATGTGATTAAAATCCATGAGCCTAGAAGTCTGTAAGTCATTATAAGTAGAATTAGTGTTATTATTTTTTATTATTTTATTTACAGAAACATTGAAAACAATTAACACCTCAAGCACCCACAATGTTGCCACATTTCAGTTCTAATCACTAAAGTTACATCATAATAATGATTGATTGAGCCTGATGTTTCTTAAAAGATTAGTTGCTATCCTTTCAAATTATATCACGTAAGAATATATCTAAATGAATAAATGTGTCATTTTGCAAAGAGGAGCAGATTTGCCATATTGCATGTTTGTCCATGTGCGACACAACAAGTCTTACTAGCTATTGACGATTTTATTGACTTTGTTTGCATGGAGTATTGCATATAGTCTCACTGATCTTTTTGTTCCAGTATACTGGGCTTAGTCGGGGGTTTTGGCATGCTGTGGGTGAGGTTGCAAGTGCTAACGCTGCCATGGATTTCCTGAGCGCCACGCAGTTTGATCCAGTGTACCACTTTGACTCTGAGAGGGTAGAAGGAGCTACGCAGATGCTGCGAGAGTTCTGGGGCCAGACAGTGCTGCTGACTAAGGCTGAAGATTACCAGGGGGCTAGACGTATTCTGGGCCAGCTTTTTCACTCATTACAGGTTGGCTATCACATTCATGTAATAGCAACACTGTTTTTGATAAAGGTGAAGTGTGTACTTCTGGGCCACCAGTGTCACCAGTTGGAATTGTAAAAATATGTACTGTTTTCAAACAGGTTTAGGATATTCCCACCCCAATCTCATGCAATTGCCAGAGTTAATGTTGTGTCAGGAGTTTTTTTTTTTTTTTTTAGTGCCTGCCACAGTCACAGTTTTCACACCTTTCAGGGGAAATCTACCTATAATGCTTTCCTAATAGCTATATATTTCACTTGGAAAAAGTATTTTAACATAAAAGAAGTTTAACATAATATAACTATTACCTTGAGGACAGTGATCCAACAATCATGCAATTGTGCTTCAGGTGAGTCGACCCAAGTTCAAGTCCCTGCTCATGGTCCAATTCATATCCCATTTCCCTCTCCCATCACTTACTGTCTCTGTGTCAACTGTCCTATCAAAATAAAGATCAAAATTGTAAAAGTTCTTTAAAACTCAAAATGTACGAGGCTCTTGTTTAATCAGAATATTGTTTGCAATACAAACTATATTAAGCAAACTCTGTGCCTATATTTGTGTGTAGGACTTCTACAGTCATAGTAACTGGGTGGAGATGGGTCAGCAAGAAGTGTATCTCCACCTTCTTCACCCAGAAGAGCCTTCAGTTCCTGTTGCCTCAGGTGAGTCCTTTGTAAAATCATGAAACAGTCAACTCTTCACCTTAAATCTTTTATTGTAAATAAATAAATCACTACTGTTTTTAGTGGACACCCCTACCTGTGCACAATGCTTCAGATTTAGCTGTTACAGCAATCTTCTGGAGGAAATGATACGTCAGACAGAACCGCTACTGACTACTGGCTATTTCAGCACTTACCCTGTCAAACCGCCAGGTATACATCATCATCTAACTTGAGAGACTAAAACGTCCTGGCCGCATTTAAATTAAGCCTATTTTTAGGATAATATGATTTTTCATTGTGACATTATTTCCTTTTCGAAACGTTGTTGCTGTAATGTTACTTTTTTCAGATTTTATTTATGTACTTAGTTTAAAAAAATTTTAATTGTAATGATAAAATAATTGTAATGCCAAAAAAAAAGAAGATCACTGGAATGAATTAATATGTACAATTGGATCCCCTTATTTGTAAGTCAGTTTAGAGAACCATGTCTGCTGAATTGATAAAGGTAAACTGAGTTATGAATCATTCCGATGATTTTGTAAGTTACTTGCATTGTCTTGCTATTTAAAGGCAAGTGCAGTCACGGTGGAATTCTAGACAGTAGTCGTCACCAAGGAGCTGAGGGCGGCATCAACAAAGACAGCACATCTCCGTTGTTCTCCCCTCATCACTTCCTCCATAAAGAAGCTGCCCATCTGGCTACCACAGCAACCCTTCGAGTGCTCCAAGACCTCCACAAAGAGGTGGGGCCCAAAAGCTTCCTCAGGTCAGAGGTCACTTAATTTAACTTGAATACTGCTTAAAGGGATATATATATGAGGCAAGAGAGGAATTTCTGTATGACTTTAGACACCTTGTGTGTGACACAATTCAATTCAATTTACATTTGTTTGTATAGCGCTTTCCACAATACTGTAGATTCAAAACAGCTTTACAGAAAACGCATGTGTCTAAATTACAATTTAGAGTGATCTGTGGTGACTGTGTCCAAGTTTCTTATTTCAGAAATGGGTAACACTTTAAAATAATGGTCCGTAGTTAACAAGTAGCTATGCAGGAAGTAATAGGTAGTACTGCATTAACACCGAAGTTAATACTATTAACTAATATGGAAGCAATATTAACTAAGCATTAAGTAATAGGTAATTTAGTACAAAGGTAGTTCCTTGGTAGGTATTTGAGTATTACTAAAGAAATATATCCTCATTGAGAACTACTTGTGAACTAAGAAATAATAACCAATTAATTACTAATCACAAAAGTAACATGTCTAAAAAGTGAACAATTGTGGGGGTTTTATACTCTTAACATGGTCATAACATTTCAGAAGCACGTGCCTCAAATGGGTTCTTTGTGAAAACCAGTTTATTAAGTTTAAATAATTAGCATAGCAAATGGAAAATAATTAGCATAGCAGCTGTTCAGCTGTTTTGAGTGTATAAGAAAAGATTGTTGTGTCTGTGAGGTAAAGTCTGTTTTACTTTCCTGTTTCTAGTTTTGTGAAACAATTGTTGTCCAAAGATGCAAAACAAATAAGTAATGAATTCTGTGGAAACCTGTAGACTTTTCAGTGTCCAGCAGCCCCCATTGGTCTTCGTCATTGACACCACCGGCAGCATGTTTGAGGAGATCACAGCCGCACGTCTCCGTACCCTCTCTATCATACAGGCTCGTCAAAAGAGCCAACGCATTACTCTGCCTGGCACCTTCATTCTGGTGCCTTTTCACGACCCTGGTTAGAGTGATATCTTCTGCCTATTGCAAGCACATTATAACACTGAACAAAACCCTAAACATTGTTGTCCCTTCAACAATATGTGCCAATGATATATGTACAAATTTGAAGAAATGTTGATGTATTTATATTTGATTCTATGTTGAGCACACTGATGATGAAGTCTGCTATCTCAGATTTCGGGCCAGTCAAGGAGACAGATGACCCTCATCAGTTCATGCAATACATGGAGGATCTGATGGCTCTTGGAGGTGGGGATGAACCAGAGATGTGTCTCTCTGCTCTTCAGGTAACCATAAAATTGAGATCTGACATTCTTAGAAAACACTGAACACAAGTAAACACAATTATTTACAAGTGTGTCTCTATCTGTGTGTGTCTTATGTGTGTGAATGTGTCTGTGGATCAGTTGGCTCTTACCCATAGCCCTCCGCTGTCAGAGATATTTGTATTCACAGACGCCTCTCCTAAAGACGGTCATCTACAGAGAGCAGTCCAGGCTCTCATACTGGAGAAGCAAACAAAGGTAACTCACAAACACACAGGCTGCATTAAGAGCAATATATAGTAAATGTTTTAAATTATTCATTCAATAATGAAAAGTACTTTATTAATAGTTCAGTCTAATTACAAATTTACTATCTATTACTACTTTGTGTGTTCTGTGTATTTATTAAAGTGTTCTGCTGTTTTCTTAGCAGCATGCTAATGGCAAACTGTACTGTGTCTCATTGGAGGAAAGCTATACTGTACATGTGATGCATAATCCAGATCAGTCATTTATGGAGTTCAGCTAGGAAGCTGCCCTAGAAAGCAGTTGTCTATGTAGAAAACGTCTCGGGTTATGACTATAACCCTTGTTCCCTGAGAAGGGAACGAGACACTGCATCGTTGAAAACGACTCTTCCTTAGTGTGCGCTTCTGAAGTATGAATGAAACCAATCCAATTACCTGAAAAATCCCATGGTTTACTTGGATGGGAGCCCCTTCTTAGGTAACACAAAACACACCAACAGTTGGTCCGACCTCCTCCAAGAAGAGGACCTCTCAAGGTAAATACCCAAAGCTCTTACGGGGCAGAGCAAATGAAGCTTCTCTTCTTCTGCCGACACACGAGGTGGAGGATAGAATGCCTGTAAGACCGTAGACCGAGCCGCATTAGCAGGCACTTTAGGCACATAGCCCGGTATCGGGTGCAAAAGGGCCTTAACTTTGCCAGGGGCAAACTCCAAGCAAGCTGGTGTCACTGCCAGGGCTTGGAGATCTCCCACCCTCTTAAGAGAGGTGATAGCTAAGAGGAAGACCAATTTGAGCGTAAGATCTTTAGGCGAAGCCAACTGAAGAGATTTGAAGGGGGGCAGGGATAACCCTTCGAGAACCACTGCCAGGTCCCAGGCAGGAACCCTGGACCTGGTTGTCGGTCTCATCCTCCAAGTACCACGGAGAAAATGATGAAGGGGAGAGACCCGCAGAGAAATGATCTTGAAACTCATTTCATTCAAGAAACTCAAGAAAGTTTCTCCCTACTGTCCCTACTGAGTGATCTACCGCACCCCCCCCCCCCCATCCCCACCCCCAGCAAGAAATTTAGTAGCTTTAAGAGCTTCTGACCAAGACCTTATGGTCTGCCCTTTAGCACCATGAGAACGTGCCGCAGAAAGCTCCAACGCAAGAATGTCTAACAGGAAGTTCCACCAGTGATGCAACGAAAGAGTATGTGGTGGTTTCCACCTTGTTGCCAGCATTTTCTTTGCAGCAGTTAAGCCAGAAAGCCAAATTCTTTTTTCATGTCTAGACATTGGAACCTGAGAATTATCATTTAACAAGCATAAAATAGGACAGCAAGGAATCTCCTTATTAAGAATTTCAGATAAAAACTTAGTGACTTGTGACCAAAAGGACTGTACTTCAGAGCATTCCCAAAACATATGAAGAAAAGTACCTATACTGCCCTGTGAGCACAGTTGACACAGTGGAGATGGCTCTAGCTTGATCAAATATCTAATTCTAGGTGTTAAGTAGGTTCTGTATATAAATCGTAAATGAATAGATCTATGATTGGGATTTTTAGAAGCTTGGTTAATGTTATTCCAAATGGTTTCCCAAGATATTGTAGGGGAAATGAGGCTGTAATCGTTTTGCCAAGTTGTTTGAATTGTAATTGGTTTATATAAACTTTGCATTATTTGGCAATAGATTGTAGATACGGTTCCTTTGGTATTCACATTATACATTTGTTTTGTAAAGTCATGTCTAGGAAGATTAGAATCCCATGGAACTCCATATGCCTTTAAGGCAGAGCGAAGCTGCAAATATAAAAAAAACGAGAATCCAGGTAAATTATAACTTCCCTTCAAATCTTGAAATGTGCGGAGACCATTGGTATTGAATAACTGTCCTAGTAAATAAATCCCATTATTCATCCACATTGGATAAGCCACTGTTCGACCACCCAGCAACAAATTATAGTTATAAAATATTGGAGTATGATAATGCCACTTTTTTTTAAAATGAGTATTATTAGTTGCAAGTTTCCAAGTTAGTAAAAGATTAAAAATAATAGGCCCAAAGCGCATTTTGGCTTGTTTTAATGGAACTTCTGCATAAATTAGATCTTGTAATCTATGCGGATGAGCTAATTTGTCTTCCAGAGGGCGCCAACAAACAGGTTTTGTGGGGTCTAACCAGAGTTTTATGGTACGCAATACAAAACACCAATGGTAAACTTTGAAATTTGGAACTCCCCAACCTCCCACTGATTTCTCTCTCTGAAGAGTTGTAAGTTTAATCTTTGGTCTTTTGTTATTCCAAATAAACGTAGTGATTAAACTATGTAAGGTATCCCAATACTCAATATGTGGACTTAAAGGCAACATAGAGCTAAGAAAATTTACTTGCGGTAACACTATCATTTTTACAACAGAGATCCTCGCATCGAAAGATATAGGCCTTAGTGTCCACTTCCCTAGGTCTTTTTTAATCTTTTCCAAAACTTTCATATAATTATTATTAACCGTAGATTCCAAAGTTGGAAAAATATCGATTCCTAGATATTTAAATTGATTTACAATTGGGATCTTAATTTGTGTTATATCCTCACCAGAGCTTAGGGGAAGGAGAGCAGGTTTCTGCCAGTTTATTTTGTATCCTGAGATATCACTGAAGTCTGAAAATAATTTCAGGATATAAGGGAATGAATGTGAGAGTTTATTAATAAAGAGAAGCACGTCATCTGCATAAATTGATACATGATGGATAGTAGAATTTATTATTATAGGTGCAATGTTTGTAGATTGACGTATTTTTTGAGCAAGCGGTTCAATAGATAAAATAAATAATAAAGGGGACAGAGGGCATCCTTGACGAGAACCTCTAGAAATTGTAAAATAAGAAGAACAAACATTGGCTGATACTACCATTGCACACGGGTTTGCATACAAAACTTTAATATACCTGATAAACCTGACCAGTAGGGAGGGTAGAGGGGGATTAGATAAGGTTAAAAATTGTTCAATTTTATGCATATTCTTGTGTGTGTAGGAGTGTTGTGGTGTGTGGGTAAAGTTGAGATGTGTGAGTGAGAGAATGAAGGTATTTATGTTGTGTTTCTGGTGCATATGTATGTTGGTGGTGAATATGTATATGTTTGTAAATATGAAAGCAAATAGAAAAAAAAAAAAAAAAAAAAATTGTTCACAAAAAAAAAAGAAAGTTTCTGAACTGATCAAGAAACTCCAGAACTGAAGCCACCGGACAGTTAACTGGATCTAATTCAAGTTCTCTACACCAAGTGGCAAACACATTCCACTTGAGGCCATATAATCTCCTAGTAGACGGAGCCCTAGAGCTAAGTATGGTTTCCACCTTCCCAGCTGATAGACCAGCATTTAGGTACTGAACCTTCTCAGGGGCCAGACCCACAGTTTCCACAGCTCCGGGCAAGGGTGGGAAATTGTGCCCTCCGCCTGAGACAACAGATCCCTCCTCAGAGGCATCTGCCATGGCAGAGCTATCAGGAGTGAAATTATGTGTGAAAACCATATTCGGGCCGGCCACATCGGGGCAACAAGAAGTAGACTGATGCCCTCTTGACGGACCCTCTCCAGGACTCCTGGGAGCAGAGCGAACGGGGGAAATGCGTACTGGCAAAGCCTCGGCCAGGCCTGTACCATGGCATGTGAGAGGGAGAACCAAAGTGCTCAGTGGGACATCTCTCCAGAGTCGAGACGCGAATAGGTCCACTTCCATCGGTCCAAACCTCTCCCATATCAACTTCACCACATCTGGATAAAGTCTCCATTCCCTGGGCCTCAGTCCCTGCCTCGACAGGATATCTGCTCCCTGATTCTGAACATACATTGCTCTGATAGACAGTATTTTCCTTTGGAACCAAAGAATAATCTGATGCACCAGTCTGTACAGAGGGCGCGATCTGAGTCCCCCTTGTCGGTTCAGATAAGCTACCACTGATATATTATACGATCGTACTAGGACATGGTAACCCTTGATGTCTGGAAGGAAGCCCTTCAGAGCTCTGAACACAGCCAACATCTCTAGACAATTTATGTGCTAAGAATGATAATGGTCCTGCCACAGACCCCTGGCAATGTGGCCGCCCACACCCCAGCCAGTGAGGGAGGCATCTGTAAAAATGGTTTTCCGGTGACACGACTTTAACCCGGACACCATTACCAGAATGGACTCGGTACGTGTGGGAGACATACGTGCCCGCATCGTAATCGAGTTCAACATGGCGCCCAGAAACGTTGTGCTCTGGGATTGTTCTAACACACTCTACTTTGTGTTGAGTCACAACCACAATTTTTTAAAATGTGGCCGAGGACGACATCTCGATGCCGAACCGCCATTTCTCGAGACTGGAACAGAATGAGCCAGTCGTTGATATAATTCAGTATGCGGATGCCCTGAAGTCTCAATGGAGCAAGTGCTGCATCCATACATTTGGTGAATGTGCGAGGAGAGAGTGCTAGGCCGAACGGAAGAACCCGATATTGGTAAGCTTCGCCCCTGAAAGCGAACCTCAGGAACCTCCTGTGACATGGAAGGTGGATACTCTTTTAGATCAATCATGACAAACCAGTTCTCGGATCTGATCTGATTTACAATGACGGGAATAGTAAGCATCTTGAACCTGAACCTCCTCAGAGAATGGTTTAAATGTATGAGATCTGGAATTGGCCTCAGCCCTCCATCCTTCTTTGGAAGTACCGGCTGTAAAACCGGGCCTCCCTACCTGAAGGAGGAACACGTTGTATGGCCTCCTTTAACAGCAGAGATTGCACTTCTTGTTCCATCACCTGTGGTGCCCGAACTGCAGTCTGTACCCTGATTTTATTATATGCAGGACCCATGCACATATGTGGGGAAGATGATACCATGCCTCTACAAAATCTACTAAGAGACGTGGTGTGCGTTCACTGGAAAACTATGTGACCCGAAGTGTCATCGACGGTGGGCAAATCACGAGCACGAGTCACAACCTCCACCAGCTCCTCATATGCTTGGCCGTGAACTGGCGTGCTTAACTCACGGTCATCCGCATCGATGCTGAGCACATCTTCCTTGGAAGCAGAGAACTCAAGCATTGGGACCTGATCATGGGCAGAAGAAGTCTGCACCACTCACAGGGGCCTCGGAATCTTTAGACGAAGAATAAGAAAGTGCTGCAGCAGTCTCATTCTCATCTACAAGATCCCGCTGCAAACCCCTCAATCTCAATTGCCACGCCGCCTCAACAGACGCGGGACCAGAACTGTGGGCAACATGAGCCTGACCGTTCTTATCAAAGCACGTCAGCTGGGAGCGCAGCACTCTCATGGGTAGTGCTTCACAAGCTCCCTCGAGAGCTGCCTGGGCGTGCTGCGCTCCCAACATTTCACATATAACTGATGTGTGTCCCCATCTGTGATGAAACGAGGGCATGGGTGCACACACTTCCTGAACTGTTCGGTGGCCATAATATAACTTGAATTAGACAGACAACACCAGATAAGACAGGCAGTTGTAACATAGAGCACTTGCTGGAGAGCGAAAGCTGATGTGTATGTGTGTGTGTGTGTGTGTCACTTTTATGCATCCGGTTATGTCGTCACATGTTACGTCACGATGCAACACCAATCAGGATTGGATTAGTTTCATTCATACTTCAGAAGCACACATTAAGGGAGCGTCCCCATAGAGTCGTTTTCAACGATGCAGTTCGAGTTTCCTCGAAAGGGAACTATGTTCAGGGCAGTGTTTTCATCCATCTAATCAATACATGTGCTAGGTAAACTTCTTGCTCACTGAGGATCCAAGCTTCAAAGGAAGAGAAAGAGGGAAAAGAAAGAGAGAAACTTTATCTCCTGATAGATTCTCTCTGTATTCCTCTCTTGCATCTATATCTGGAGGAATAACCATCTACACGACAAACAAAGACATCCACAAAGTGTCGGCCATTGTAGAAGACACCACTACCTCCAGCAAGGTACAGTCAACTGGAAACACAAGGGGACCAAAAGATCATAATATCTGCCTGTTTCAAAAATTGTATAGAGTCCTGTCAGGATTCTGGATACAGGATTCTTCATAACCATGTTTCTTTCTCTGAATAGGTCACGCTGCTTCACACAGAGAGTGAATCGGATTCATCAAACTCCTTCAGAGTGGACAAAGCTGTGACGAAAGTGATGCTGCACATCACTGGTCAGCTCACACACTGTGAGCTTGTCAGTCCCTTAGGTACTCATACTAATGCAGAGAACTAAAACATTCAACCAAGCATAGACAACTAAACTCCCCTGAAAATTACCATATCTTGGGTCATCAGTGACATGCAGATAAGCCACAAACTTGCAGGTGTTTGATGACCAGATTAACTTCCTATACCAAGTTGCTGCCCATTCAAAGACCACACTGCCACATTCTGTACTTAAAGGTTATTAAAAGTCATCCCAAAGTAAACTAAAAAAATGACAGTCAAACGTAAATTAACTGACTAAAATGAAGCTGGAGAATTGTGGAACTCTCACTTGCAACGCAGAATGTGCTCAATCCTCAGTCTCAGGACTCCATGTGTAACTCCTCCAGTTCTACTCGTACCTTTCTAATTTGAACCGCCGTCTCCAGCAAGGGAGGTGGGCATGCAAACAAGGACCCTCAAAGAGTATTGCCTCTAGTGTCAGTCACTAGTGCACCTCTTGAGGCCAGAGCAGTGAGGTTTACTAGCGCAGCTCTAAAACATCTAAAGACAGAAGTATCCATTGATGTATCCCTGCTGATGCACTTCTTCTTATAAAGAAAAACACTTCATTATCTCTCTACTTCACTTTGTATCACCTACAGTACATCTATGACCTATCTTGTACCTTTTCTAAACAATTATGGAACTTCATATTTAGTTACAGTCCCCTGAGGATGATTCACTGCAATCAAATTGTAGTATTCCTCATTTGTAAGTTGCTCTGAATGATTTGTCTTATCTATCTTTCTCTCTCAGGTGCTCAACAATCTCTTCCTGGTACTGATGGTCCTCTAGCAATCCTAGACTCATCTAAGGGTCTATACAGAATAAGCCTGCTGTCTCCGATAGAGATAGGTATATGGCAGCTTTCAATCAAAGCCATTGGACCAACTACATTCAGTGTCCTAGGTAAAGTCTTAACTTTATAGAATTAAGTGAGTAATAGAACTAAATAACAAAAAGAGTAATGTGTTTAAGCCTTAAAACACATTTTTATTCAATTCTATTTGTTGGATATGACTAAATGTGTTTAAAATTTCTTAGAGTTATTCCAAATTGGCATTAACTGATGTTCTACAGGTGACAGCAACTTGGACTTCCTGTACTATTTTGCAAAAGAATCTAATGAGACACATCCAGGACTAAGGAAACTTGAAGGCAGCCCTATAGCAGGTCTTTCTTATTGTTCCCTGAACCATTTGTGTAATGCTTTTACTGTTGTTGATATCTATACACTTCAAGTGATTATGTTCTTACCTAATTACCTGATCTTATCACATTTATTCTTAGGAGTCCCAGTGTTTTTAGTGGTTGCAGTGACAGGCCTCTCACCCAATGATAAGGCCTCATTCAGTCACGTGACTCTTTTGGGACCCAAAGGGGAGAGCCTGCTGAAAGTATTGCTGAACTCCTCGTCTTCCTATTGGTCTGGAGAGGAGTTAGTGGGCTACATGAACTCAGTTCCCAGGATGCCATTCACCATGTGTCTCTCTGGAAAAGATGGAAGGGGAAACCTGCTCGAAAGAGTTTCCACTGAGATGATTCAACCGACACACGTGCAGATACAGGTATTAGTGAATTTGACAATAATGTGCTGGCAAAATGTAAAACAGCAAAATGAAAATTGCCCCATGTCCCCAGGTGCTCTCTGCTCCACAACTTCTCCCAGGTCACAGCTCGACTGTGCTTTTTGAAATATTTAATCATGGACCAAAACGTCACTTCAGTCTTTCAGCAGAAGATGACCTTGGGTATCTCTCCCACCGAGACCAACAAAGGTGAGAGCGGAAGAAAGACAGACCCAGCTAAATGACACAAATACTACAGGTTTTTACTAAAATAAGGTCTACCTAAATACTAAATGTTTATCAGTGTTTATTAGTTTGGTTAAAGTTGAACGTACTTTCATATTCCAGCCAAAGATGTTAGATAAGTCCCTTACAATTGTTCCTTTTTTAGGCTGTTTGTCAGTATGGGGAGCTCTGTGAAGAGGGAGGTTGAGCTAAGGATCCCTCAAACTGCTCAGACAGGGAGGTCAATCACATTGACTTTGACTGTTCATGCAGAAGACTCACCAGACTCAAACTATGCTGTGGTACACTTGATAGTGATACCAGAGGTAAGAAACATCACAGTGTTTTATAATGAAGAAGGTTCCAGGTTCCGAGCCAGAAGTAATTTCTTTGGAGTTTTATTTTCTCCCAGTTTCTGTGTGGGTTTCTCCCAAAATCCAAATACATGGATGAGAATTGGGGACACTATAAAGTCCGTAGGGCTGAGTGAGAATGTGAATGTGTACCATTTGATGGACTAAATATCTGTTAATGGTGTTCCCCTGCTTGTGACATTAGATGCTGGGTTAGGTCAATCCGGTCTCATCCTAAGACGTCATATAACTGACGTTTTGGGACGTCTTTTGACCATACGTCAATATTCGCCTTTTTAGGGCCCCCTTAAACGTCGGTAGATGAGGTTATGGGATCCTAACTCTACCCCAGACCTAAACCTAACCCTAAACCTAACCCGTCACCTAACTGACGTTAAAGGTAAAGCGTCAGTTGTATGACGGCACGAGATCGCCATCTACCGACGTTTAAGGGGGCCCTAAAAAGGCGGATATTGACGTATGGTCAAAAGACGTCCCAAGACGTCAGTTATATGACTTTTTGGGATGAGACTGTGTTAGTTAGGTTAGCAGTTTGGAGAATGGATGGGAGATCAGTAAATGCTCTCCACATAATATCTTTAAGGGGAACTTATTCCATCCAATCACCAAAAATAACAAGAAAATAGTTCAGAAAAGTAAAGTTAGTTCTGAAAACAGTTTTAGCAGCATTTGTTTGTACATTCATGCATATTTAAATGTGACTTATTACTTACTTTTGTGGGTCTACTGTCTCATATGTGAACTAGCCTGTTAAATTAAACATTGTGAATGTGTTTAAATGTTGTCTTGTGACAAATCCAGGAGCCTGACAAAAATCCTCCGACATGTTCTTCTCTGCAAGTGGAGTCCTCCTGCCCCTCTCTGTGCTCTCAGGGCAGCTGGAAAGTCTCACTGGTAGCAAAAGACAGAGGTCACTCTGGACTGGCATCCATACAGCTGGCACAAGGAGAAGGCACCCTCATTCTGTCTGAAGTGACTACAGAGAGACATGCACAACATTTCCCACAACTTCATGAAGAGACCATGCGAGGAGTCCATCTCCCTTTGCTACAGCCACAAAAGGACACCTCAGAAATCAGTAATAACCTCAACCTTGGAACAGGAGCTGAACATGGACGTCAAAGGCTGGAGGGAGTCCAATTAGTTAATGGGGATCGTCCAGTAAACATTAGTGAATGGACTAAGGGGAAGCCTGTAATGATGCATTATTCCTCAGGCTGCTGTGCCCCTCAGGCAGAGCTAGTATTGTGGGATAGAGCGGGTAATATGAGACGCTGTCATCTCATAGCCAGTCAGCAGAGGGCATTACGAGAAAACAACAGGGCTCACAGTGAGAAATTTACTTCACAGCTAGTTCTCATGTTGTGGGGTCACTCAGCATTGATTATTATCTATGATCTCAGATAAAAATTTTTTCATTTACTGTTTATTATGCAATTCTATATGGACACAAAACATACTAGTTTTTAATACTAGTACACACGCCACAGAAAATAAGAATTGTCACTCAGGGATGGTCTATTCTGGAAATTGTTAGGTCTTCACATGACATTTGCATTACTACTGTATGTCATTTAGTGCGAACAAAAACTTACAAGTAGGTCTAATTTAATGATTTCTAGTTTTCACAATTTATAACATGCCAAATGGAGTGGTGTGTGTAATCCACCTTTTATTTTAGCTGCAATAAAATATCTCTCTTTTTTTAAATATGGTTTGTACTTATCCATTGTGATGAAACACAATGTGAAATGGCCCAGAGAGAGAAAAGAAAGATGATGCCACAATATTTTGGCTAGGAAATCTTATTGTGTTACAGAAGTTACAGTAGTTAATGAGGATAACCTTTTGATTCCAAAACCAGGCAACTTTCAGGGTATGTAGGGATAGCTACTCAGTCTCTGAATATAACCTGCACCCATCTAAAATAAAATAAGCATAAACCAGTTTGAATTCTATATTGCTCCAGGTTGGTTTATGCAGGTTAGATCTGAAATGTGCTGGCCTAGCTGTTTGAACCAGCAAAGACATGCTGCTCTCAAGCACAACTGAGCTGGTGTATAACTTTTCCATCAGCACTCGAGCTTCCCATGCATAACATTATGCTGGTGACCAGCAATGCTGTATTTTTCAGCAGGGAATTTGAAGATTCCAATAAAAAAGCTGTAATAGTTATAGGCAAAGTCACAGACAATTTAGCAACAGGTAGTATTATATTATATGTGAGACAGTTGTGAAACTCCAGAAAGTGAATGGTTTATAAGGCTCAAATCGTTCACACATGACCATTATGCTTTTTCCAATGGTAGAGCTGTGATGGTTGCCCTCCTAAAATAAGAACATCTCTGGTGTTTATTCTTAGTGTCCACTCTGTCAAGAATGACAGTGTGTTGACCATGACATCTGAGTTTCGAACTCTGGGTTGACTGAACTAAGACATTTTTGGCAGCAATTACTCTGAATAAGCAATGTTTTGGTTAACCAACATGGTGTACAGCAAGGCTATTCAATTCCGTTCCTGAAGGGCCATGGCCTGCAGAGTTAAGTTCAATCATCAAACACTTTAAAACAAACAATCAATCAAACTAAACAAACCCTTAAATAATCAAGTAATCTTGAAGACATGGATTAGTTGATTAGTTAATACAGAATTGAAACTAAACTCTGATCTGCAGGTCATGGCCCCAGCCAGGATTGAATAGCCCTGGGCAGTGTTTCCCAAAAGCATCGTCAGCCTAAATTAATCGTACAAACGATTTGTACGACTTAGCTTAATATTATGTTTCCCAAAAGTATCGTAACTTAACTCGCGCTTGAAAATCTTCGTAGAACTGCGAGTGCTCTGGATTAGTAAATCTCCAAGTGCATCGTAAGGAGACAGAGTTATGAGGTCACCTGCAGGACAACCGGCAGATTGAATTGCGGCGAGCGCACATAACCTTGCACATAGAGAGCGCTCTTTAGAGCTAAGATACATCGTTATCGGGAAACTCGGCCCTGGTTAATATGAAGTAAACCGTGCTTTCTGGAATATCATCAGGTAGTGATCAAATCAACAAATGAGCCATGAAAATGTGTTCAATTGCACATTTATGGGATCAAAATCCCGCCAAATGTATTGCGGCCATGGATCAAAAATTAATAGGCCGAGCATGATTCAAAAATGTAAAAAGATATGTAAAATATAATGCACAAACTGGAAAAAATAATAATAATGCAAAATTGTCAGAAAAGCAAACGCGTCATGGATCAAAATATAATGCGCAAATAAAAACTTTAAACACATTAAAAAATATTTTGCATGAAACTCAAATTTATGTTCATGTTCTGCGCTTGCTCTTCCAAATGTTGCAGTTCGAGTTTCATCATGTAAATGAGGGCGGGCTTAAGCGTCACCATTGGTCCACTAGCTCTAGATTGACAGCTCTTCCTCTAGCCAATCAATCGAAGAGGGGAGTTGAGGTCACTCCGACAGGCTTACCCCCGGTTCTTTGATGTATCCAGTGCTCGAAGTGGGGCGGTACTCACCGGTACGTAGTACCAGCACTTATACATTTTACTCTTAAGCCTGCACTTTTTATTGCGTACCGCTACTTCTCGCATGTAGCCGGTACTCTTGTACTCTACCACTGACAGAAAAAGCGTGACGGCCGTTTAACCCCTTATTTACACTGCACACATCTGCGGCACATTACGGCTGTGAAACGGCAACCGGAGCTGATCGCGGCCACCGCAAGCGTGAGCAGTGCGTGTTTTCACACCGCGAGGTGAGCAGTGCATTCACACCATGAGGAGGAGCAGAAGTGAAGCGGGAGTCTATTTTTGTTGTGCTCACGCTCATTTAAGGTGAAAGCAGTCTTTTTATGGAGAAAATAAATATGATTTCACACAAAAAGTGACCAAAATGCACAGAATTTGCATTGTCTAGTGTGTTTAAACAAGAACTGGAGTAGGCTACGTCTGAAAAGAAAAAAGACTTAAACATATTTATACAAGATTTAGCCATTTAAACTTGTCTTAATTATTTTGGGTAGTTTGGGTAAAACTATGTTTTATAAATAAATAAAACGAGCAAACTAGTCAGAATATAAGCTTTTCTTTTAGTGTATGTAATAGCCTACAAAGACAGGTATACATGCCCAAATCAAACCTAGTGTAGCCTACTTTTTTATGTTTGCTGTCTTGTAAACATATCGAAGTATGACTGAAAAGACAATATCAGAGCTGTTTTCTTGGTTGCTTTTGTTGTTTACCATTTACATGCACTAGTTGTATACTTCCCATCTTAACAAACTTCAAGAATCAAGTTTATTAATGACCAACTTCTATGAGAATGTGGTAACACTTTACAATACGGTTGCACTAATAAGCATACTTAAGTAACTAATAATTATTTAAGCTATTCATTAATTATTACCGCATTAGGAACTAATTAAGAGTCTGTAAGGTTAATGTATTAGTTCATACATGAATTGTTATTAATTAAATATGTTAAAAAAAATTAACTAACAGTAGTAATTAATATGTTAATTACCAGAATGAGTCAAAACCTTGTATTTCAACTTCCAGATAATATGACAGGTACACTAATATGCATTAATACATGATTAATTACTTCATTGTTAGTGCAAATTCATGTGCAGATTACTACAATTACTAAATGACTCATTAATAACGATGTGCCCCAACAAGTAAAGTCATAACATATTGATACCTTTGCAAATCATTAGCTAACGATTAATTAAAGCAGACAACTGAAAGTTGAAGTGCATAGCTTTGACTAATTATGGTAATTAACACATTAATTTACACTATTAGTTAATAAAATATGTTAAATACACAATGACACATTGAATTAATAGCAATTCATGTATTACTTATATTAATCATAGACTCTTTATTAGTTGCTGATGCAGTAATCATTAATTAATGGTTTAGTTCTTCATGAGTTATACATTTACTCATGATTATATGTGCAATAGTTAAGCATAAATTAATGCATATTAGTGCACCCATATTGTAAAGTGTTACCGAGAAGGTTTCTTTGTAAAGAAATGCGCGCGCACACACGACTTGTTAAAATACATTTATGTTGTCAATAAATAACAAATTGTTGTTGTACGAGCAATATTTCCAAGTTTTGTTTTTCCCAGTAAAAATTTCAAATGTCATGATTTGCCAATGCAAGGGAGTTCTGGGTTCAGCCTGGGTTCTCCCAAGGTTTTTTCTCCATCCAATCTGATGGAGTTTTGGTTCCTTGCCACTGTCACCTTGCTTTTGGCTTGCTTTTGGCTTGCTCAGTTGGGGTTATTTAGTGTTTAGCAGTATTATTGATCTGTGTTGTACTACTTTCATGTTATCACTGTGAAGCTGCTTTGATACAATCTGTATTGTGAAAAGCGCTATATAAATAAATGTGACTTGACTTGACTTGAGTACCGGCACGTTTTTTCCCCCCACTTCAAGCACTGGATGTATCAATTGGAGAGATCCACTGTGCTTGCCCCACTTCCTGCACGAGAACGGAATATGCTTACTGAGGGAAGTACATGCAGGTCTTTTATGCATTCAGGCATGTTTCCTAACTTTGATTTGACATGCGCCCCTGTCTGTCAAGCCCGACTTGGTGCAATTAGATGCTTCTGCAGAAATGAAGTATGGATGCCGTTTCCATAGTTGGATCTCTCCACTCGATCTTTCAAAGAAACAGTGTTACAAACAGTAATCTATTGTTATTCCTTGGTTAAACGTTAAATGGAAGCACTAGTTGGCTGCATGAATGTCTTCCTAGACTGAAGGCTGCATGTTTTATATATGGATTTATCAAACCATGTGTTTAAAACTAGCCACTTTGCATCATTTCACTTAGTCACATTATTTTACTAATTTTAACCTACCCATTACATAAAAATAAATATTTTTATCATACTGATCTAACTTTTCTGTCTTTGTTTCTAAAAGAATGTAACTGTGGTTGGCAGTTCAGCTGGGGAGGATCCGTCAATAGATAGCTTGACGCATTTGTATAAACTTTTAACTGACCAGAATTCAGTACATCAATCACCACTGGAGAATTAGGGTAGCCTGGACCTTCATGTAAACGTGTGAAAACTGTGTGCAATGGACAGAATAGAAGGACAAATAGAGGAGAGAGGATACTGGGGCAGTAAAGCAGAGTTTCTTCTGGCTGTGGCAGGGAATGTGATTGGACTGGGTAATGTGTGGAGGTTTCCTTATCTCTGCTACAAGTATGGAGGAGGTATGAAACCAGCAGCGATCTAAATACATAATACACTCATGTGCTTCTTTCAGCTTTTTAAATAATGTTTTTTTTTGTACTGGTGTGCTCCCAGGGGCGTTCCTGATACCCTACCTGGTGTTTGTGATTACCTGTGGGGTGCCTCTGTTCCTGCTAGAGACCGCAATGGGACAGTACACACGGGAAGGGGGCATTACATGTTGGCATCGCCTCTGTCCACTGGCTGAGGGTGAGAGTGTGGAAACAAAACATCTCTTTATAAAATATTTAAACACATTTTTTTATTAAAATGTGTTAATCTTTTTTTTCCCTTTTTTTTGTATAATTAATATTACTCAGACTTAATTGTATAATAACACCATTTTTATACATTTAATAGACACCTTAATAAAGTGTAACCGAAACCATTTATTTCATTAAATCAACAGATTTCTTTTTTTGGG